TCTCACCTTCCTCTGATATAAATCCATGCCATTCCTTATTTTTTGATCGGGATCATTTGCGGTCCAATATGGGGATCATTTCCGGTCCGGGATCATTTGGGGTTCAATTTGGGGATCATTTGCGGTCCTGGGATCATTTGCGGACCCGTACAGTTCCACTTCTGACGTTATCACCTTTGACCAAAATTGGCATCATCTATGCTCAACTTCTGCAGGAGGAAAAGGTCTTTCCAATGATACCCAGAAAAGAAAAAAGGAGAAAAAAGAAAGGCAAAAAAAAAATTCTAAAAACTCGAAAAGCCTAAAAACGTTGGTCACTTTTCTGCGCATGCCTGAGCAAAAATGTCGTAAAACGCGATCCTAATGGGAATTGAAAGAAAGGCATGCTGTCATGTTGCAAATGCCGTTTTGAGTAGATTGGAGCTAATCTGGCCCAGATCCAGCTTGAAAATCTCCAAAAAGTCCAAAAAATGCGTTTTTGGCAAAAAGCTCCGGGAATCATTGGGTTAATCACGTGACCGAATTTTTCAAAAGATGAGTCCCTTGGTGATAAATTTAAGAAATCTATCTGAAGCAAGCTCAAAAACACCAGAAATTGGGCAAAATTTTTGTTAACAAGAACGAATCAAAATAGAAGTTTTAAAGAGGTACAGGTCATCTGCATACTTGGGGCAATTTCCACCAACCAGCGCACGGTTAAAGATTCATTTAGGCCCTGTTTACAAGGAGGGAGCGTTACCCTAACAAGAGGGTTAACCCTAACTGGAGGGCAAAAGATAGATTTCACAGGTAGGGCAACCATACAACCTAGACAACTTCATGCGCGGGTCTGAAAACAATTAGGAAGTTAACCCGGTTAGGCGGGTTAACCCTACCTTGAGTGTTTACAAGGGAAAAAGTTAACCCGCCTGCCAGGGTAACCCTAGCACGCAGACAGGGTAACCCGCCTACCCGGGTAACCCTAGCTGCCTTGTAAACACGACGAAGGAAAAATGACGAAATGTGTGAGTGCTTGGGTCACCCGCTTGCTAGGGTAACCCTCTTTCCCCGTGAACAGGCCCTATTAGTCTCACAGAGTGGGTTAAAACATACAAGCATAACAACGGGATACAGGATCTTTAGGGGGAAAAATCATAGGCGTGCGGCCCGTGGGGGCGGGGGTGGGGCTGCAACTGTTTGTCACTTCTCGACCTTTCTCGGCTTTCAACACGGACCGCCAATTACGCAGTGTCAAATTACCTAATTCCGTCGTTCATTCAAACAAAGGTCGTCTTTCGCCATTTCTTCTCGCAATGCCCAAATACAAGCTTTCATACTTTCCAATTAGAGGCAGGGCCGAAGCCATCCGGATTGTGTTCGCAGTAGCCGGAGTTGAATTTGAAGACAATAGAGTTGGTCCGAAAGAGTGGTTTACAGAGCTGAAACACTGTGAGTATTGTAAATATGTTGTTACGTTGATTGTTTCTACCCTTTGTGTCGATCTGAACATCCAGGGAAACGCTCAGTAGCTCAGCTTTGTGGTTCAATCGCTTTATATGCGGCCTGTCTTTCATTCCCACTGCCCAATCAAGTGAAGCGATAACCTTCTCTGATTAGCGTATTGGAACTGACCGAGTGCGTGAAACCGGCCGGGCTAAGTCAAGAAAGGACGTTTTGCGATGATTTTACTCTTTTTCTGCTGTCCAGTCAAGTTCTGTTTCTTATTGTTTGTTGCTGCCAAACATTACAATTTCTTTGCAATTTCATAGCTGTTTAGATGACGAAAAACGACGCATTCTCAAAATCCTACGACTTAACTTGAGCGTGTGTACGCGTCACACCTCACTGATCATTTATTTGCGTAAATTATCTCGTCAATTTTAATTGCTTTGTTCAATGCAGACGTTTACAGACCCTTTGAATATTTTGTTTGTTTTTAACGAAAAGCAAAAACAATCGAGCTATCAGGGTTATCTAATACCGAAACTAGTCCCTGCGACAAGTCCCGTCGAAGCGACTGGTCGCAGGGACTTGTCCCACGAACAGTTCACACGAAGCGTTTTGAGGAACAAGTCGCAGGGACTTGACCCAAAAATTGAAACCAGTTTGAATTCGTGGGACTAATCGCACGGACCAAACATTGGTGCCCAGCGACTAGATTTTGAAGCAAAAATGGCTAGCTGACACGATGGGACTTGTGCCCGCGACTTGTCCCCGCGACTTGTGCCCGCGACTTGTCCCCGCGACTTGTCCCCGCGACTTGTCCCCGCGACTTGTCCCCGCGACTTGTCCCCGCGACTTGTTGCAGGGACTAGTCGTATGGACTGGTCCCCTCGTGTGTGCCGATCTTAAGACTCGTCACGCGTTCCTTCCGGAGTAGCCGACGGATTGAGCAGCCGTTTTTCTTACGTACCGTAAATTTTTCTTTGACATGAGAGGAATACGACGTGCGAAAAAAATCGAGAGGCAATTTGTTCATTTACGATCGTTCACAGTATCTGAAGAAAGAGGGCAACCACTCGTAGTTCAGTTGAGAAAGTAAAGATTGCGTGACAAGGCAAAGAGCGTCTAGGGGTGCGTTTCTTTAAGAAAATCCAAGATTGGATTCTTAAATCCGAAAACGGATTTGCGTTTCTTTTCTAAACAGATTAATCCAAGATCTCATGGATCATGGTGCGTTGAAGGAACCGAAGAATCCAGAGTGTATTCTTCGGTTCCTTTGACGCACCATGATCCGAGAGATCTGTTTAGAAAAGAAATGCAAAATCCGTTCTCGGATTCTTTCGGATTTAAGAATCCAATCTTGGATTTTCTTAAAGAAATGCACCCTTAAATAATGTCACGCTGGCCGTATATTTTGGGCCGCACATACCTATGTAGCCCATATAAGGGAGTAACCCAGGGGGATTAGAGCTGGGAACCCAAATTTATCACATACTCGGCGGCGAACTATAAGAATTTGTATAGCACCTTATCACCACTAGTATAGTCTTTAAATAAACTTGTTTTCAGTGCAAAAAGGTTTTAGATTGCGAGCAGTCTCTCATTTGCTTAAAAATCCGCGAGGAAAAATGCAAACGAGCAGAGGCCAGCAGCTACGCCCGCGCCACTCGCGGCTCGCGGTTAGAACACTCACCGCCGCTCCTGGTTTGTGTTCTTCTGTCGCCGATCGTCGAGCTAAAGAGAGACTGCTCGCAGTCTAAAAAGGTTTCAATACCTCGATTCTTTGAACAAAGACAAGAACTGTGTCACAGTCAGGCTCTGTAATTTTTCCTACACTCGGAGTCATTCAGACCGTCTCTTTGTCACGCAACACTGCGCCGAGAGCGTAGGGTTGCGTGACAAAGAGAACCAGAATTGGACTAACTTATTCTCTGTTGTTTTTGTCAGCTGGATTAAGCCCCTCTGGCCAGTTACCAGTATTAGAAGTTGACGGAAAAATCCTTACTCAATCCAAGGTTATCCTCAGCTATGTGGCCAAGGAACTAAGTAAGTAACGTTCATCCGATTTATTGTCTTTGTTCTACCTTTTCGCTGACCTGCTGATCGTGTCAGAGCGAAAAAACATCCAAAACCAAGGAAAATATTTTCAATCTTGATACGGTCCCGAAGTTTGATTAAATTTCCCCCCGCCCCCACCCACCGCCCAATCCGAGTGGGGGAAGGTTGGGTCTGTGTCACTGGAGTTTGCGCAGTATTCGTGAACTGCAGATCATGCCATTGAACCATTGAACCACTGCCTATTAGAGGTTAGAGGGCTCATTCTAAACACGTATTCAGCCATATGAAAATCTGATCTGACATAAATAATCGATTCTCGGTCTTCGATCAATTCAACTCTTCTCTGAGAATTGCCTTACCACGCGGGAACAGAATCCAAGCAAGAGCCTTTCAGTCAAATGGGCAGAAAATGCATAGTAGATTTCTTCCGGAATACCTGGTCTTAAAGGAGCTTAGTCACGGTATTTTGAGTTATTTTGGTTATTTTTGAAGGAAACCTGAAAATAGTAGTTTACTAAGATAGAAAAACATCAAAGAGATGATAATAAACGATAAAGGAACAAGGATGGCTAAGGATGGAGAAGATTAACACGGATTACAAACGACGAACTCGAAAAATTTAGGCTAAGCTTTTCAAGACGTGCAGAACCGGACGTAGCTCCTTTAAGCGGCTACCTTCCATTTTCCCGTGGGTGGTTCCAATGTTTACTGTTAACGAATTGTCCTAACTGAAACGTATAGGGAGGCCATTATAGACTGCGAGCAGTCTCTCTTTTGCTCGAAAATCCGTGGGGAAAAACGCAAAGAAAAACGCAACACAAGCGAGCGATGGATCATGAGCGTGCGAGTGTGATATGTGAAGCCGCGAGCCGTGTTCTTCTCCACGGATTTCCGAGTAAAAGAGAGACTAGTCGCAGTCTAAGGTCGTTACGGAGACTGTGTATCTTCACAAAGGGTCCTTCTCTCTAGATCTTGCTCCAGAAGGTAATTTCCAACTGGCTCAGGCAGACATGTTGGCTGATGTGATCGGTGACTTAGAAAGCATGCTATCTGAAGCATTTAACGAGAAAGATCCGGATAGTAAGGTAATCTCTATTTTGGGTCTGTGCTGTGTGCTGTTCAGTGGTAGGCTTTGCATTGCGCAAAACAAAACTCGGGGATAGAATCTGAGGCCGCGTCCACGCTACGCTGGAGTAATCAGTTTGAAAACGCAGCTGTATTTCTTCGGTTAGTCCTACCGTCCACACTAATCCGTCACGAAAACGGAGCTTTTCGAAAACGCTCTTCAAACCGGAGGAATTTGAAAACGTCGGCTTTTCGTTTTCGTGTGTACGGTAAACATTTCGAAACCAGAGCTTTTCGAAAATGATGGTGTCACGATAATCATGTGATTTGCCTGATCGAGCTTTCCTCAAACACAAATCCAAAATGACCGCTGATTGTTGCGTTATTAAATTCCTCCTTCGTAGTGTAGACGGAAAACATTTGACGCGTTTTCAGAGTGAAACCTCCGTTTTCAAATTCCGCCGGCGTAGTGTAAAAGCGAAAGCAGGGTCGTTTGCCAATAGGGTTTTCTTCAATTGAATATCGTAAAACCAAAACCAAGCCAATTACTTACCAATTAGACCACTCAGCCGATCTCAAAACGTAGTAAAACCAAAACCAATCTGATTACTTGATTGCTTTCGAAAGCCGCTGCTCTATAAGATTAGCTAAATACAGGAAATCGTTTATTATGACGCTAATTTTTCTTCTTTTGCAATGTTGTTTCGAAGCCTCAATCACCATACATACATTTCTGTAGCCTGCGAACAGGCTCCCAGCGAGGGCGAAAAAAACACTGGGGAGCGAAGCGGGTCGATTCACTCTTTGTTTTTGTTGTTGTTTTGTTGTTGTTATGTTTTTCGCCCTATAACCCAATCGGAGCCCTGTTTACAGGCTGACATTTCCCTCTTGTTATGCAACAGGAGAAAGCCTTAGCCACTGCTTCTGAAGAAGCCATCCCAGCGAAATGTGGATATTTTGAAAAGTTCTTGGTCGCCAATAGTAAACATGGATTCTTCATCGGAGACAAGGTAAGCAAATGGTTCGTTTAAAAAAAAAGAAACAAACAAAGATGTTAAATTACTGCGATAACGATAGTGGAGGGCTAAAGCGCCCGCCTTCCTTCCGTCCATTTAACTTTCTAATCCTTTCTAATTGCCGCCATTTCTGTTTCAAAATATTATGCAATGTTGCGTTGTTTAAACGTTGTCGTTGTTCATTCCGGTTCCAGCAACCTTGGATATCTCACTTCTCACCCTCTCTTTTCGCCTTCTCCTAGTCTTTCCAGCTTCTAAGCTCCCAACCATCCCCCCCCCCTCTCCCCTCCCCTCCTGCCCTCAGGCTGCCGCAAACGTCTGAGGGACCGTTCATTTCTTTTAGAGAAGGGGGCGGTCGTGGGCGAGGTGACGGGGGGCGGGGGCGGGGGCGGAATCGGTATATTGCTTCAGAGGGGAGCCACTGCAATTAAATATACTATGTAAGGGGTGGGGTCACTCAAAATAATTACCATTACGTGTATTGACGGCGTCTATGAGAGAACAAAAGAAACCTACCCAAGCGCCTAAACCAGGGTTTCTGAGGTGTTGAGAATAGTGCAGCTTGCACTTTTTTTATATACGCCATATTCTTCCAGTAATGAAAATCTAATTTTATCCCACAGCTGACCTATGCAGATATAGTGGTGTTTACCTTTCTAAACAGCTACTTTGCGAAAGGAAAGGCGCAGGGAATTCCTGAACAACTGAAAGAATATCCCACCTTATCGGCATGGTACGAGCTGGTCCGAACACAACCTAAGGTTCTGCAGTGGTTGAAAAATCCACCAGCTGGCATGGTTGACTACATTTACTAAGACAGCTAGACATAAAAAAAAAAACAGAGACCGTGGATAACAAGATGTGCCGATGATTTTTTTTTTTAACTTTTTTTCTTCTTAGAGAATTTAAGTAGTGTTTATCAGTCTTAAGCTGAAAAACAACGATTCGTGCAAATGACAAATTTCTCGACTTAATGTAAGAAAAATCATATTGCTGGCATACGCAACATTACTGATAACAGTTACTAAATATACTTTTCAGCATATTTCGACTTTAAACAGTGGCGTATCTAAGTCAGAATCTCTCCCACCTCGTCCTGCTGAAAGAAATACGTTCCAAACAGCCAAAACTGTATGCCCTCCCCTCCCCGCTGTTCTTTAAGTTCTCTCCTTACTCTGCTCCTTCGTTTCTTTAGCAAAAAAGAACCCACCCCTCCCCCACCCAATTCCCTCTCTCCCTTCCTCGGGGTATACTATTGCTTGAACGAAGTGTAATAGACGCTTTAAATAACGTTCCACTTTCAGACGAACACTTTGATAATGACACTGGATGTTGGTTATGGTCCGATTTCTTCGGGAGATTATCTAAAGTATAATTTTCTGACTTGAAAGCAGTGTTCGAAAATCTGTCGAAAATCCTGCTCCGGCTGAACTCGAGAAATCTCCGGAAATTTGCGTCATCTTCGACAATCCCTGGACTTTCAGGTTGCAAATCATCGGGAGTCAACCTCAGAACTTGGAGGGCCCTGGGGAGCTCCCGGGTCTTTGAACAGAAATATTCGAGGAGAGGTTTCACCTTCAACAAAAGAAAGTTAAGGTTTTTAAGAATTATGCATTATATTTCGAAAATATATAAATGTTGAACGAACACTGATAAAGTAATGCATTGCAATTCAACGAAGTTTCTACCCAGTACTCACTTACGACACATCCCCAATTATAAGCATATGTGTTCTTCTTATGCTTATGCTTTCGTTTAGTGAGGACATGGTTAACATGAGTATAAAGTGCTCGCTGATTGGCTGAAAGTCTTTCGCTCATGCTTTTGCTTATGCCATGATGTCCCACGGGGGTACACCCTCAAAAATTGGGTGGGGTTATGCGGCCCACTTCCCAAAACCCTAACCCTATTTATGACTAAAATCTGCGATTTTCCCTACCCTATTTGTGACCTGACCAAAAATTCGATACCCTATTTATGGCTGTTGCGTCTGGCAGAGTTACTCTAAACATAATTCATGAAGGGCTTTTGTTGATGGTCTTATCGATAATGATGAAAAACTAGCTTCTTCTAAAAAAAACATACTTAATTCAAGACCCGAGTGCAAAAACCATACCCTATTTATGACCAAAATGGCCAAAATCGATATCCTATTTATGACCAAAACGGCTGAAAACCCATACCCTTTGGGACCGCACATATCTATATAGCCCATATGAGGGAGTACCCCCCTCCTTCCTCCGGATGATATCCCCATTGGACATTAAAACGACGTGAGCATAAGCATAAGAAGAACTCGAGGCCTTGATATTATGCTTATGCTAATGTCTTCCCCACAAGCGCATAAGCTTCTTTTATTCTTATGGTTATTACGCTGGCGTCGCAAGTGAATACCCGGCGGGCTTTACGCAACAATGGTTGCATTGCAGACCGTGGTCTGGCTTATTTTACCGAAATTTCCGTTCGAAATATTTTGGACTTTCGAGAAATTCCATGGGTCCAGAGAGTTGTTATAACTCGTACCTGCACTTGGGTACGTTTAATAGACCTTTTTCGCTTGGGCGGCCGCGCGGTTTGTTGTCCCATTACAGACAACGTGATATTCTCTAGAGAATTGTTCTTTTATGCATCTAAAAATTATTTATTCATATACACGCAACTATTTAAAAATTTGAAAGGAAGCATTCTCAAGAGTATCATTACATGGTCTGAAATGGGGCAACAAACCGCCCAGTCGAAAAAGGTCTATTCGTTTATTCATCGAGGTGAAATTGAAAAGTAATCAAATCCAGAGCTCCAGAGAGGTTTCCTTTAACTTAAAAGCATAAGCTTGCCTTGAAGCGACCCCTAGGCAACGTGAAACAAGAAAAAAGCAAATTATTTACTTTAAAGATACGGCCGAGTGACTCAACTCAAAAGCTTTATAAGCAGGCGACTGGCACTAAATAACCCACTGTTTATTTTTCTCTCCGCTCGTAAATTCTCTCGCCATGCCTCAGTACAAGTTAACATACTTTCAACTTCGTGAGAAGGCGGAAGCCATTAGAATGACTTTCGCTGTCGCTTGGGTTGACTTCGAGGACGTGCGAGTTTCAATGGACGACTGGGTCGCGAATCTTAAGCATTGTGAGTATGTAACTGTATGTTCGTTTATGCTATACTACAATACTCTACAGTTCACGTCAGTTTAAAGGAGCCGTACCTCACGGTTTTAGCCTTAATTTTTCAAGTTCGTCGTTTGTAATCCGTGTTAATCTTCTCCATCCTTAACCATCCTTATTCCTTTATGGTTTATTATTATCTTTTTGGTGTTTTTTCCCTATTAGAAATTTACTGTCATATCAGGTTTCCTTCAAATTAAAGGCAATTTTATTCGCAGTCAAGGTACCGTCACTGAGCTCCTTTAAACAGCGAAAAGACTATGATAGACCATAGAATCTTACTATCAAACATTCACATACAAATGCACCCTCAACAGTGATAGTTTCAACGAAAGACTGAGTAAAATAGCTGACAAGGCATCCAAATTTGAGGACTTGGGTGAGGGGGGCTGAGCCCCACTTAAAAGCCTGTTAGCAAGAAGTACAAAATTTAATATGTAGTTTTTCTATTTATTTCGTTACTATAATGCATCTCCACATTGTTTATACTGCTTTCCAACAATCTGATAAATGTTAGAGTTAGCGTGGTCTACACACTCTTGTTTCTCTTTAAGGTGAGCTGCAAAACTGTGCACCTTACGCCTCGCTCAATAAATGAAACCAAGGAGATCAGGAGGCGAATTTTTCAGCCAATGCTGAACTTTAGGCTGTGTTCGCACCAATTCGTACCATGCCGACAAAGTGGGATATTTTTCCAGTTGCTCAGGAATTCCTTCAGCGTTGCCTTGTAGATAGTAGCTGTTAAGGAAGGTGAACACGACGATATCCGCATACGTCAGCTGTGGAATATAAAATAAATATGATGTCAATTAGTGTGAGAGTTTGATGAGACGAAACGCTATCCCATCCGACCCCCTGTGACCCCCCTCCGACCCCCGAGGAGAGGGGGTGTGTGGAGTTGGCTGTTGACAAAAATGTTGTTTTATTTGTACGTCAAGGGAAAAACTGATCTCTGTTCGAAAACGTTCATTTACAATAATGTCTCAACACTTTTGTCCTTGATTGTAGCTTCCTGGTAGAGCATTGTAGCGGCATGGGTTCGAATCCCATTCAAGTACCTCAAATTTTTCAAGTCTTGCAACTGATTCAGTTCTGTTCTTGGTTCCAGCTTTGTTGTTTGCTTACCGTATCTCCAATAAAGAATCCCTGTTTACTGTTAGCTACCAGGAACTTCTCAAAATATGCACATTTTCCTGGAATTACTTCTTCACTGGCGGTTTTCAAAGCTTTCTCCTGGNCTTTAGGCTGTGTTCGCACCAATTCGTACCATGCCGACAAAGTGGGATATTTTTCCAGTTGCTCAGGAATTCCTTCAGCGTTGCCTTGTAGATAGTAGCTGTTAAGGAAGGTGAACACGATGATATCCGCACACGTCAGCTGTGGAATATAAAATAAATATGATATCAATTAGTGTGAGAGTTTGATGAAACGAAACGCTATCCCATCCGACCCCCTGTGACCCCCCTCCGACCTCCGAGGATAGGGGACGTGGGGAGTTGGCTGTTGACAAAATGTTGTTTTATTTGTACGTCAAGGGAAATACTGATCTCTGTTCGAAAACGTTCATTTACAATAACGTCTGAACACTTTTGTCCTTGATTGTAGCTTCCTGGTAGAGTATTGTAGCGGCATGGGTTCGAATCCCATTCAAGTACCTCAAATTTTTCAAGTCTTGCAACTGATTCAGTTCTGTTCTTGGTTCCAGCTTTGTTGTTTGCTTACCGTATCTCCAATAAAGAATCCCTGTTTACTGTTAGCTACCAGGAACTTCTCAAAATATGCACATTTTCCTGGAATTACTTCTTCACTGGCGGTTTTCAAAGCTTTCTCCTGGNAGGTACGGAGGTTAATGGGGGTTCGACTGTAGTTCACACTATGAGAACATTATGTAACGCAAAGCAAACAGCACTAGAATAAAGGGCATGGAAAGAAAAAAGTGATAAGTAGTTCTACCTTCTTTTCTGGATCTTCTAATTCACTTCCCGCATTTAACATGTTTTCTAAGTCACCAATCATATGGGCCAACATGTCCGCCTGAGCCTGTTGGAAGTTCCCCTCCGGAGCAAGATCTAAAGAAAATATTCCTATGTTAAGACCAGGGGGACTCCTATATGAAAAGGTCGGGGGTGCTCGTCGGAACATTTGAATAAAACCCCTAAGGGAAACAATTCTGGGCGAGGCTCGAGAGTTTTTTGACCCCTAAAAGATAACCACTTGAAACGGAATAGGCTCGAGTACCAGCCGCTGTTCAGGAAAGGAGTTTGTGCCAGTAGACCAGACTAGAGAGACCGGGAGAAAGCGAGTCTAAAAACGGAAATAAGAGCAATTTTTCATTATTATTTCCTCGAGTGCTCCCTAAATGATACTTTGACAGCTAAAAATAGGGACGATTCGTCATAAGCACTCTAAGTGAGACCAGAATCCTTGATTTATCCCTAAGCGAGACGACAGGCATCCCCGACCTTTTCATATGGGAAAAGACTCTTGTCACTTTACATTCGTAAAGAGCTTGTTGAGAGAATTCGATGAAATACCACGTCAATATTACATTGACGATCAGTTTTTCCTAGCTTTGTGGGGACAATACCTCAAGGAAAAATTGACCCTGATCATTCAGTGCTCATGATTCTCAGCCAACCTGCAATTATTAAAGAGCAGTTTCCACTTGGGTGTCGAAAGTGATTCGTATTTGCTTCTGCGTTGTTTTAGAGCGGGTTTCGTTTGAAATTTGTTGTAAAACCAAAACCAAAGTAATCACTCAGGGCAATCACAAAGGACAGAGCAGAGAAAATCCAGTGAACCAATCAAGATTCGGAAGTGAATACATTTAGCTGACGCGAAGAGCGGGAAAACGTGAGCAAATATTGGTCACAATTGGTTTACATGTCATAACGTCAAGTCATGTTCTTGAAAATTTTAATAAATAGGGAATCAAAGATATTAAAAAACACCCAGGACATAGAATATACAATAAAGAACCAACGGAAGATTAAGACCGTTCAAAAAGTACGAACACGAACGACTGACTAGAAGAAAACAAACCGAAATAAACAAACGAAACATTGACAATGACAACAGCAGCCAAACAATGTGGATGATTGTTTCAAGATAAACTCTTGTTCAGGTGGATACTTACTAAATTCCTTGGCCACATAGCTGAGGATTGCCTTGGATTCAGTGAGGACTTTGCCGTCAAATTCTAGAACTGGCAGCACACCAGAAGGGCTAATTCCAGCTAACAAAACAGAGAGCAAGAAACAAAGGCACACGCGTTATTGGAAGTAATATGCCGAGAAGTGTTTTCACTTGGTTTTTCTTAACCTACATGTTCGTTTAAACATATTGTAAATCTTCGAATTAGCGCCTCCCCTCAAATAAGCAAAACGCCCCTTCTTTCAGCCAAAATTTAAAATAAGGGCCTCCCCTCGAATAAGCGCCCCCGTCCTCTCCCCCTCACCTGTTTTATGGACGAGTACTGAGACAACAAAGGATGTATAGTATTGGTCGTGTTTAATAACAAGTAACTGATTATCAACTCATTCAAGCACTACACATTCGGAGAATGGTTCTGGTTCGGAAAAACGCAAATACCACAAAGCCAGGGTTACATAGGATATATCTCTTCAATGGTTTAGACAGTGATGTTAAAACATATTTTGCCATCTGTTTTAACAAACTGTAAACGGCATGGCTCTTTTGTGTCCAGACAAGGGGTTACCCATATTCAATACTACTTGATTCTGGACATAGATTTGACACCTAATTCAATGTATTTAGTTATCGCGTTTTACCACTATAAGGGTACTGTAATTTTTTTTTTTTAATTTTTTTTTTTCGTCTTACAGTGATTTCCCCAGAANGCCTGGGCCTGTTGGAAGTTCCCCTCCGGAGCAAGATCTAAAGAAAATATTCCTATGTTAAGACCAGGGGACTCCTATATGAAAAGGTCGGGGCTGCTCGTCGGAACATTTGAATAAACCCCCTAAAGGAAACAATTCTGGGCGTGGCTCGAGATTTTTTGACCCCTAAAAGATACCACTCGAAACGGAATAGGCTTGAGTACAAACCGCCGTTCAGGAAAGGAGTTTGTGCCAGTAGACCAGACTAGAGAGACCCGGGAGAAAGCGAGTCTAAAAACGGAAATAAGAACAATTTTTCATTATTATTTCCTCGAGTGCTCCCTAAAAGATATTTTGACAGCTAAAAATAGGGACGATTCGTCCTAAGCACTCTAAGTGAGACCAGAATCCTCGATTTATCCCTAAGCGAGACGACAGGCATCCCCGACCTTTTCACATGGGAAAAGATTCTTGTCAATGTACATTCGTAAAGAGCTTGTTGAGAGAATTCGATGAAATACCACGACAATATTACATTGCCGATTAGTTTTTCCTAGCTTTGTGGGGACAATACCTCAAGGAGAAATTGACCCTCATCATTCAGTGCTCATGAGACTCAGCCGGCCTGCAATTATCACAGAGCAGTGTCGAAAGTAATTCATGTTTGCTTCAGCGTTGCATTAGAGCGGGTTTCGTTTGATATTTGTTGTAAAACCAAAACCAAAGTAATCACAAAGGACAGAGAAAATCCAGTGAACCAATCAAGATTCGGAAGTGAATACATTTAGCTGACGCGAAGAGCGGGAAAACGTGAGCAAATTGGTTCCAATTGGTTTACATGTCATAAAGTCAAGTCATGTTCTTGAAAATTTTAACAAATAGGGAATCAAAGGAATTAAAGAAACATCCAGGACATAGAATATACAATAAAGAACCAACGGAAGATTAAGACCGTTCAAAAAGTACGAACACAAACGACTGACTAGAAGAAAACAAACCGAAATAAGCAAACGAAACATTGACAATGACAACAGCAGCCAAACAGTGTGGATGATTGTTTCAAGATAAACTCTTGTTCAGGTGGATACTTACTAAATTCCTTAGCCACGTAGCTGAGGATTGCTTTGGATTCAGTGAGGACTTTGCCGTCAAATTCTAGAACTGGCAGCACACCAGAAGGGCTAATTCCAGCTAACAAAACAGAGAGCAAGAAACAAAGGCACACGCGTTATTGGAAGTAATATGCCGAGAAGTGTTTTCACTTGGTTTTTCTTAACCTACATGTTCGTTTAAACATATTGTAAATCTTCGAATTAGCGCCTCCCCTCAAATAAGCAAAACGCCCCTTCTTTCAGCCAAAATTTAAAATAAGGGCCTCCCCTCGAATAAGCGCCCCCGTCCTCTCCCCCTCACCTGTTTTATGGACGAGTACTGAGACAACAAAGGATGTATAGTATTGGTCGTGTTTAATAACAAGTAACTGATTATCAACTCATTCAAGCACTACACATTCGGAGAATGGTTCTGGTTCGGAAAAACGCAAATACCACAAAGCCAGGGTTACATAGGATATATCTCTTCAATGGTTTAGACAGTGATGTTAAAACATATTTTGCCATCTGTTTTAACAAACTGTAAACGGCATGGCTCTTTTGTGTCCAGACAAGGGGTTACCCATATTCAATACTACTTGATTCTGGACATAGATTTGACACCTAATTCAATGTATTTAGTTATCGCGTTTTACCACTATAAGGGTACTGTAATTTTTTTTTTTTAATTTTTTTTTTTCGTCTTACAGTGATTTCCCCAGAAACATTTCCTTCGGCAAAATGGTTTTACTTTCAACTCAACGAGGTCGGGGAGGGGGTGTATTCTTATGAGGAATGAGTTTCGCAATTGCCGCTAATATTCTGTTGCAGTGAAGATCAGTTTTCACATAGTTAGTGGAGGGGACTACTAACTATGGTTTTCAGGCATGTTTGTTTTATTGCGAAAGGTCAATCAGCTGACCAAGCTTGCGGCTTCCGATTGGTGAGTTTAAAGGAACTACGTCACGCCTTGGGCGTCTTGAAAAGCTGACTTGAATTTTTCAAGTTCGTCGTTTGTAATCCGTGACAATCTTTTCCATCCTCGATCATCCTTGTTCCCTTACGGTTTATTATTTTTCTATCCTAGTTAACTATTATTTTCAGGGCTATTTCAATTTTAAGGTAATTTTGAACGTGGCCAGAATAATTCAAAATGGTGTGACTGAGTTCCTTTAACGAGCTGTGTACCGGAGCGAACCTTTTGTCAAAGGAATTTCCAATTGTTCTCAGTCACGCAACCATGTAAAGATATTATCTGGAGGTAAAATCGTTTACACTTGAAAAGCCACTTTCTCCAGAACAATTCATTACAACGGCTTGTATTTAAGCAATGTGGCACTGTGTCATCAGAATAAATAAGATCGTTCGGATCTCATGATGTTGTTTCGGCTGTTCTAGGAGTCAGGAACAAAAGAATGTTCGCTGACCCTTAGCCGAGCTTAGTTATGTTTACTCGTGCAAAATTCTGTATTCTAATATAAGTAAATATTTGAAAAGGAACTTTCATTTGAAAAGGTCGCTGGAAAGAATGCTCGCCGGAAAACTTGGATTAAACCCCAAAAGAAGACCAATCGAGGCGTGGCTCGAGCTTCATTCGACCCCCAAAACCCACTTACAACGAACAGGCTTGATTACCAGCCTCTGTTCAGGAAAGGAACCGGCACTAGTAGATCGGACTCGAGGGACCTTTGGAAAATCGAGCCTAGAAAAAGAAATAAGAGCATATTTTTACTTTTACTTCTTCGAGTGCAGGCTCAAAGATACTTTGACAGCTAAAAATAGTGTCGTTTCGTCATGAAGACCCCAAGGAAGACCAGAATCCTTGATTTATACCCCTAAGCGAGGCGACGAACATCCGCGACCTTTTCATATGGGAGGAGTCTCCCCCGGGATTTTAGACCACTAAAGTAGCTTACGTGATACATCGTATGCGATCAGTAATAGGTCTGTTCTACCGTCCACCCAGAGGTACACCCACAGGAGATGAGGGCAGATAAAACCACATGCATGCGAAGACTTTCTGCAGAGAAACTGATCTGAACCTAAACTAAACTCTTCGCTGTTTAAATCGGCGAAAACAATAGGGTTGTGCAAGATTAACCAATATAGAGCTGTATACTCATAATGCTTAAGCTTCGACACCCAGTCGTCTATAGAAACTCGCACGTCCTCGAACTCAACGCCAGCGACAGAGAAAGTCATTCGAATGGCTTCAGCTTTTCCACGAAGTTGAAAGTAAGTTAACTTGTACTGAGCCATCGCGAGCGAACTTACGAGGGGAGAGAAAAATTAAAATAAACAGTGTGTTCTTTAGTGTACGTAGTCACCTGATTATTTAGCTTTTGACCTGAAGTCACTGGGCCGTATCAGGGCAGACGTATTTCCGGTTGTTCATGTTGCCATGCAGTGGTAACTAATCTGTCGATCGGGATTGCTACGAGGCACTCTTATGTCCCCGGGGGGTGATTCCCCATATGAAAAGGGCGGGGATGCGACGAGCACCCCCTTCNTTGGATTCAGTGAGGACTTTGCCGTCAAATTCTAGAACTGGCAGCACACCAGAAGGGCTAATTCCAGCTAACAAAACAGAGAGCAAGAAACAAAGGCACACGCGTTATTGGAAGTAATATGCCGAGAAGTGTTTTCACTTGGTTTTTCTTAACCTACATGTTCGTTTAAACATATTGTAAATCTTCGAATTAGCGCCTCCCCTCAAATAAGCAAAACGCCCCTTCTTTCAGCCAAAATTTAAAATAAGGGCCTCCCCTCGAATAAGCGCCCCCGTCCTCTCCCCCTCACCTGTTTTATGGACGAGTACTGAGACAACAAAGGATGTATAGTATTGGTCGTGTTTAATAACAAGTAACTGATTATCAACTCATTCAAGCACTACACATTCGGAGAATGGTTCTGGTTCGGAAAAACGCAAATACCACAAAGCCAGGGTTACATAGGATATATCTCTTCAATGGTTTAGACAGTGATGTTAAAACATATTTTGCCATCTGTTTTAACAAACTGTAAACGGCATGGCTCTTTTGTGTCCAGACAAGGGGTTACCCATATTCAATACTACTTGATTCTGGACATAGATTTGACACCTAATTCAATGTATTTAGTTATCGCGTTTTACCACTATAAGGGTACTGTAATTTTTTTTTTTTAATTTTTTTTTTTCGTCTTACAGTGATTTCCCCAGAAACATTTCCTTCGGCAAAATGGTTTTACTTTCAACTCAACGAGGTCGGGGAGGGGGTGTATTCTTATGAGGAATGAGTTTCGCAATTGCCGCTAATATTCTGTTGCAGTGAAGATCAGTTTTCACATAGTTAGTGAAGGGGACTACTAACTATGGTTTTCAGGCATGTTTGTTTTATTGCGAAAGGTCAATCAGCTGACCAAGCTTGCGGCTTCCGATTGGTGAGTTTAAAGGAACTACGTCACGCCTTGGGCGTCTTGAAAAGCTGACTTGAATTTTTCAAGTTCGTCGTTTGTAATCCGTGACAATCTTTTCCATCCTCGATCATCCTTGTTCCCTTACGGTTTATTATTTTTCTATCCTAGTTAACTATTATTTTCAGGGCTATTTCAATTTTAAGGTAATTTTGAACGTGGCCAGAATAATTCAAAATGGTGTGACTGAGTTCCTTTAACGAGCTGTGTACCGGAGCGAACCTTTTGTCAAAGGAATTTCCAATTGTTCTCAGTCACGCAACCATGTAAAGATATTATCTGGAGGTAAAATCGTTTACACTTGAAAAGCCACTTTCTCCAGAACAATTCATTACAACGGCTTGTATTTAAGCAATGTGGCACTGTGTCATCAGAATAAATAAGATCGTTCGGATCTCATGATGTTGTTTCGGCTGTTCTAGGAGTCAGGAACAAAAGAATGTTCGCTGACCCTTAGCCGAGCTTAGTTATGTTTACTCGTGCAAAATTCTGTATTCTAATATAAGTAAATATTTGAAAAGGAACTTTCATTTGAAAAGGTCGCTGGAAAGAATGCTCGCCGGAAAACTTGGATTAAACCCCAAAAGAAGACCAATCGAGGCGTGGCTCGAGCTTCATTCGACCCCCAAAACCCACTTACAACGAACAGGCTTGATTACCAGCCTCTGTTCAGGAAAGGAACCGGCACTAGTAGATCGGACTCGAGGGACCTTTGGAAAATCGAGCCTAGAAAAAGAAATAAGAGCATATTTTTACTTTTACTTCTTCGAGTGCAGGCTCAAAGATACTTTGACAGCTAAAAATAGTGTCGTTTCGTCATGAAGACCCCAAGGAAGACCAGAATCCTTGATTTATACCCCTAAGCGAGGCGACGAACATCCGCGACCTTTTCATATGGGAGGAGTCTCCCCCGGGATTTTAGACCACTAAAGTAGCTTACGTGATACATCGTATGCGATCAGTAATAGGTCTGTTCTACCGTCCACCCAGAGGTACACCCACAGGAGATGAGGGCAGATAAAACCACATGCATGCGAAGACTTTCTGCAGAGAAACTGATCTGAACCTAAACTAAACTCTTCGCTGTTTAAATCGGCGAAAACAATAGGGTTGTGCAAGATTAACCAATATAGAGCTGTATACTCATAATGCTTAAGCTTCGACACCCAGTCGTCTATAGAAACTCGCACGTCCTCGAACTCAACGCCAGCGACAGAGAAAGTCATTCGAATGGCTTCAGCTTTTCCACGAAGTTGAAAGTAAGTTAACTTGTACTGAGCCATCGCGAGCGAACTTACGAGGGGAGAGAAAAATTAAAATAAACAGTGTGTTCTTTAGTGTACGTAGTCACCTGATTATTTAGCTTTTGACCTGAAGTCACTGGGCCGTATCAGGGCAGACGTATTTCCGGTTGTTCATGTTGCCATGCAGTGGTAACTAATCTGTCGATCGGGATTGCTACGAGGCACTCTTATGTCCCCGGGGGGTGATTCCCCATATGAAAAGGGCGGGGATGCGACGAGCACCCCCTTCCTTTTTGTATGGA